CCCTATCATGTCAACCCTAATTCTTCGCCTTTCCATATAATGTAATTTAAGCTTCGTCAATCGTTTTTACTATGATAGATTTCTAATTTGCAAGAATACCTTCGTCATCCTACGCTGGACACGTTCTAGTAAATTAATATCCATTCCATAGTATGTTGATGCGATCTGAACTGCATAATCTACAGGGGGCCTAACAGTAGTAATATATAGCTGAAGAACAACACCAGGTTTCTTATTACTAAGGCTACGATTAATTAATCCTAGTGTCCTATTTGACTTTTTACTAATATTTTTGTATTGATTTTTTGGTTTTAAATTCTTGCTAATTATATCTCTTAAATCCCCCCTTTCCCTTTCGCAACCCGCCTGCGCAATCGCAACGAATACCAGAAAATTATTAATTGTATACAATTGGGATAGTGCAGGATAATGTAAATGGAGCAAAATATAGCACTAGGTGATTTATTACTGACTGTTCGAGAAACAAATCCCATTGTCATATTTGCAATAGCTATTTGCAGACTTGTCTACAGGTGATGCTGGGAGGTAATGGACCCAATAGTTTATGAATGTCATTAATTTTGTTTTATAAATGTCATGAAAGTTAATGAAACTATCGAACAAAGGCTCCGCTCTTACATTAGTTAAGAACATAAGAATGAAGGCGATGAGTCACAATAACGTGGCTGAAGTATGTTGACCAGACCACACACTAGAAATTGAAGGGACGACGACGTTTCGGTCCGTCCTGGACCATTCTCAAGTCGATTGTGAGACTCTCAAGTCTCACAATCAACTTGAGAATGGTCCAGGACGGACCGAAACGTCGTCGTTCCTTTAATTTCTAGTGTATGGTCTGGTCAACATAAGAATGAAGGTAAATGTTGAAGGCCTAATTGGCCCATACAACCCAGATCCTTTTTATAACAAACCATATGGTCAGCAGGAGGTAGAAGCTAAGGGGAGAACTTACCGTTAAATAATTCTTCCATATATTCTAACCTGTTTCGCGTTAACTTCTGCTCCACCCGTGTCTTGAGGTTCTTAAAACATAACATATCGATACAAGGATATATTTCTGCGCCTGAGTTTGGAAATTTTGGCGGTGGAGAGCTTCAGAATTGTATTTTGCTCTCTCATCTGAATCTTGCGGGGAGAGAAATAACTCTTCTCAAATGGATTAGTCTTTGCCATGGTTACTACAACGGACGAGCGTAAACAAACCACATGACCAGGAAAGAACTGGGGAAGCAAGTGAGGGTCTGAGTTGGTTCGGCAACTTATGAGCTAACGCATATCAGGTGAAGTCTGGTGACATGGACTTTTTGCCTAGTATCTGAAATAAATGGATAAATCACTGAGCCCCTACAGCACTCAATAGCCCGTACTATGATAAATTTTGTTAAAGTAGTCGATTGTGAGACAACATCAACATGCTATTGATGGAAAATATCTCAACACAAACAACCACTCACATCTTCACAAAGGTATCAGTAGAACAAGAATGAGATTCGGTTGGTGCAACAGTTAAGAATAAAAGAAGGTGACTGCAGAAGGCCTATTGGCCCATACAAGACAACTGCTATTTATAACCACCCAATCTCACTCATATACATGTCCATCCCACTCTTGAAACAATTCAAGAACCCCACCTCTACCACAGTAGGCGGTAATTGATTTTACAAATCAACAACTCTGTTACCGAACCAGTATTTACCCATTTCTAAGATAAATCTAATCTTATCCAATTTATACTCATTGTTTAGTGTTATGTCGTGTGTTGATACTTGTAATACTACTATTAATATCTCCCTAGGTTTTACGGTAATAGGGTCCACAAATCGACAGTCCTGTTACCGAATCTGTATTTACCCAGAACATTCCCATATCTATAGTTATCCAGTTTATATTCATTGTTTTGAGTTTTATTATACGTTGATACTTTTAATACCCTATTAATATCCCTCTATGTTCATATGAACATTCTTATGTTCATATGAATGTCCATTCATATGATTATTGGAATGAAGGTAAAAGCAGATGGCCTATTAACAGATGGTATCGCTATCGAAAAAGTACCTATTTATATCCACTCAACCCCATTCACATATATATAAAAACCTACGCTTGAAACAATCAAGAGATCCTTCAACTGTTATGCTATGCGGTAATTTGCTCTTCGAATTGTGTACACTGTTACCAAACCAACATTTACCCAGACAATTTCTAAATTTAAACTTTTAAAATTTATACCCATTTGTTCATGTTTAGCCTTGTGTTGATCGAATTGTGACTGGTCCAGGACGGACCGGAACTTCGTCGTTCCATCACTTTCTAGTGTGAGGTTCAGTCAACATATTTCAACCAAGTTTTTGTGACTCCTCGTCTGCGTGTGTTGATGCTTTTAGATATTGTTAGGTTCCTCTTTAGTAAATACAGATACAAAATATTTATTAAAAATACTACTCATCTCTTCATCACTATCTGTTATTTGACCTGTCTCAGTTTTTAATGGACCTATTCTTTCCCTAATCTTTGTTCGGTATAATTGGAAAAACCCTTTAGGATTTGATTTTGCTTGCTCTGCTATGCGAACTTCATAGTTTCTTTTTGCTTTCTTTATCTCGCTTTTAGTATTTCTAACCAGTTGTACGAATTCCTGGTCTAAACAGACTTCCCCATTCTTAATCCTTTTGTACCACGCTCTCTTTTTACCTAAAAGGTTCTTCAGATCCTTTGTTATCCAGTTTGATCATTAGTATTCGATCTATTCATTTTATATGGTATACTACATTCCTGGGCTTCGCTTAGAATATTTTTAAATAGGTTATATTTTGAATCCACATCGAAAACCCCTTTTACGTCACCTATCTCTGGGCTAACGTCTAGCTCCAATACCGGCCCACACCCCATACCCAAGACTTTCCAATATATTTGACCCAAAAAAATTCTTAGGCTATTGAAATCAGCTTTTCGAAAATCAGGCACTTTAACAGAATTTTCTCCTACAGATCTATTCCATTGAATGCTAAATCTGAATTCTTTATTATCACTGTTCCCTACCTCACTCCCTATTTCGATGTCCTTAATTTGTGTTTCCCTGTTAGTTAACACTATTGAAACTGGATTAACACTATTGAAAATGGATTAACACTATTGAAACTTAACACTATTTCCTGAATTGAAACAGGAATTTCCTCAAGTACTTTCGTATATAAATACATCTTCAGAAGGAAATTATAATGTATGTCTAATGAGACGTGTCATGACTAGAACGAGTTGAATCATTGTATGATGGACGTAAAATGAATAGTACTACATTCGTCGAAGAAAGTTTGTTTGGATGCAAACATAAATTAATAATTGAGTCGCAACATGGTTTTATAAATGGCCGTTCATGTTTAACAAATTTGTTATCTTTTTATTCTAGCATTGTTGAGGCAGTTGATAGTGGTAAGGATTGCGATGTTGTATACCTTGACTTTAGCAAAGCTTTTGATACAGTGCCACATGAAAGACTGATTAAAAAAATAGAGTCTCATGGTATTGGGGGTGCTATATTAAGCTGGATTAGGGCATGGCTATACCAAAGGAAACAGAGAGTTAGTATAAATGGAATCAAGTCAGAGTGGGAAAATGTTGTAAGTGGAGTGCCTCAAGGCTCTGTCCTGGGACCTCTGTTGTTTATAATATATATAAATGATTTAGATTCAGGTTTGAGTAGCAACATTTGCAAATTTGCCGATGATACGAAAATCGGTAGGGAAATTAATTCGGAGGAGGACTCACTATCACTTCAAGTTGATCTAGATAGGGTTTTGAAATGGTCAAAGGATTGGCAGATGCAGTTTAATGCTGATAAATGTAAAGTTCTGAGGTTAGGTAATGATGATAGAGTTACAAGATACGAGCTAGATGGTGTTGTGATTGCGAAGTCGGATTGCGAAAGGGATCTGGGAGTTATGATTAGTAAGAATTTAAAACAAAAGGATCAATGCATAAATGTTCGTAATAAGGCAAATCGGACACATTAATCGCAGCGTTAGTAACAAGACACCTGGTGTGGTTCTCAAGCTATATCTTGCTCTAGTTAGGCCCCATTTAGATTATGCAGTTCAGTTTTGGTCGCCATATTATAGAATGGATATAAATTCACTTGAACGTGTCCAGCGTAGGATGACTAAGTTAATTCCCCAAATTAGAAATCTTTCATATGAAGAAAGATTAACAAAGCTTAAGTTGCATTCACTGGAAAGGCGAAGAGTTAGGGGTGACATGATAGAGGTTTACAAGTGGATGAATGGACATAACCGGGGGGATATTAATAGGGTATTAAAAGTATCAACACAGGACAGAACACGAAACAATGGATATAAATTGGATAAGTTTAGATTTAGGAAAGACTTGGGTAAATACTGGTTCAGTAACAGGGTTGTTGATTTGTGGAACCAATTGCCGCGTAACATTGTGGAGGTGGGGTCCCTCGATTGTTTCAAGCACGGGTTGGACAAGTATATGAGTGGGATTGGGTGGTTATAGAATAGGAGCTGCCTCGTATGGGCCAATAGGCCTTCTGCAGTTACCTTTGTTCTTATGTTCTTATGTTCTTATGCTCCGAGACAACACTTATTTAAGGGGGGAGGAGTGCAGGCGTTGAGTCACAATAACGTGGCTAAAGTATGTTGACCAAACCACACACTAAAAGGTGAAGGGACGACGACGTTTCGGTCTGTCGTCCGAAACGTCGTCGTCCCTTCACCTTCTAGGGGGTGGGGGGAGGAGTGTTACGTAAAGTTCCGTATTGCGTCGCATCGGAATAGAATTGGTGGTATTAAGAGTAATATTTTTCTTGCTCAATGGTGCAGGGAGAACGACGTTAACAACCATGCAGGGTTGTTAACGACCAGCGATCGCTAACGATCGTCCGGTGGTGGGAATTCTGATGGCCAATCAGAATCACCGGGCGAGGCAATGAGTACCTGCCGGAATGTGGGCAGAAGCCAGTACTCTACTCACTCCCCACCATTCGATACGACGTAGGTGTGTGTGTGTGTGGCCGGCCTTCTGTAAAAATTACGACGAGGTGATCCTCTATCTTTCGAAATACCAGTGGAAGATGGTTTGGTTAAAGACGTTTGAGGTTCCAGTATATATATTAAGTATATTTATATATTCCGTCTTAGACGGAATATACATTATAATTCCGTCGTAGACGGAATATATATGTGTAGTTGGCTGAGGGAGCCTCAAAAACTGCGTTACTGTTTCATAGTAGATAAGTTTATTGTTTCGTAGTCTAGAGAAGTAAATGGCTCGGAAGAGAAATTGATGGAGTAGCGCGACTCTCATTGTTAGTCTTAAAGTATATGTAACTGTACATTTAACGTAGTGGCAATGATTAGATAATATGTATCTTCACATAAGACACCCACGTATTTGGGTAATATGGATAAAAGTATCCATGACAGTTGGATCCTAACAATGTTCGTAATAAGGCAAATAAGACGCTGGTATTTATTAATCGGGTGTTAGTCGGAAGACACCTGGTGTTCTTAAGCTGTATCTTGCTCTGGTTAGGCCCCATTTATATTGTGCACTTCGGTTTTAGTCCCCGTACTATAGAATGCATATAAACTCGCTACAACGTGTCTAGTGTAGGATGGCAAAGTTAATTCTCCAAATTTAAAAGATCTTTCGGATAGAAATAATTTAATATAAAGCTTAAATTGCAGCCTCTTGAAAGTTGAAGTTAAGGGGGGGGGGGGGGGTTGACATGAGAAGTTTAAGTGGAAAAATGGTCATAAAGGGGAATATAAGAACATAAGAACATAAGAACAAAGGTAACTGCAGAAGGCCTATTGGCCCATACGAGGCAGCTCCTATTCTATAACCACCCAATCCCACTCATATTGAGTAAAGAAAACAGACGGAACGCGAAACAATGGGTGTAAGTTAGTTTTAGTTTTGGAAAAGAAACGGGTAAATACTGATTAGGTAACAGGGTTGATTTATGGAACAAATTACCGCGTAACATGGAAGTTATGGCTCCCTTCTTTGTGTCCAATATGGGTTGGACATGAATTGGAATCTTGCGAATAAGATACTTCGTACGGGCCAATGAGCATTCTGCCGTTGTCTTTTATTCTTGCGTTCTTTAGAAATGTCCTCCCATGTCGTCTTCCGCGCTTTAAGGCTCGATTCCTTTATTCTGATTTTCTTTGTAATCATTCTCTGGCCTTGCTTAGCCTTCTCATTTTTATCTACTTTGCCTATTATCAAGCAAAAAGATCTTTTTCATCCTGCCACCAACATTAGGTGCACTGGGCTTTGCCTTTCCTTCATATCTGGACTTAAACTGTTACTAATACCTTTCGTCCTCCAGACAAAGTTCGCTTAACCCTTTTCGTAGGGACCTACTTCAGTCTGCTGATGAAATGACTTTAACTAAAGTGTTGTCTGCAGACGCAAACAATGCTCTCTTCTGAATCGCCTTAAGGCCTGGCTTTGTTGCTGTTGACTTTTCCCTTTAACAGTATATACTAAAATGTTCTAAATTTTCTAACACGACTTAACATAAGCCTACCCTTTTTATCTAGTTTTCTTTAACTTTCTTATTCCTATAATTTCCCCCTTTATTACACCTTGCCTTCCGTACCTGTTGCCTTGCTTTTTCTTCCAAGATTTCCTTCGCCGCTTGCCTATATATTGAAGATGGTTATTTTTCAATTTGGATCGCATCCAAAATGTCTAATTGGAAAGCTAGTGAAAAAGAGTTATCGACATGAGACTGGTCCAGGACGACAGTAGACTTGAGAAAAAGAACAAAGGTAACTGCAGAAGGCCTAGTGGCCCATATGAGGCAGTTCCTATCTCTAACCACCCAATCCCACTCCTATAAATGTTCAACCCGCGCTTGAAACAATCGAGGGACCCCACCACGTTACGCGGTAATTGGTTCCACATATCAACAACCCTGTTACCGAACCAGTATTTACCAAAGTCTTTCCTAAATCTGAACTTGTCCAATTTATACCCATTGTTTAGTGTTCTGTCTTGAGTTGATACTTTAAATACCCTATTAATATCCCCTTTATGTCCATTCATCCTCTTGTAAGCTTCTATCATGTCACCAGTAACTCTTCGTCTTTCCAGTAAATGCAATTTAAGCTTTATTAATCTTTCTTCATATGAAAGACTTCTAATTTCGGGAATTAACTCTCATCCTACGCTGGACACGTTCCTTGGAATTTATATCCATTCTATTGTACGGCGACCAAAACTGGACTGCATAATCTAAATGGGGCCTAACCAGAGCAAGATATAGCTAAAGAACTACACCAGGTGTCTTGTTACTAACGCTTAGATTAATAAATCTCAGTGTCCTATTCGTTTTATTACGAACATTCATGCATTGATAGTTTGGTTTTAAATTCTTACTAATCATAACTCTCGGATCCCTTTCGCAATCTGACTTCGCGGTCTCAACACCATCTAGCTCTTATCTTGTAACTCTATCATTACCTAGTCTCAAACCTGTCCATTTATTAGCATTAAACTGCATCTACCAGTCTTTTGACCATTTTAAAACCCTATTTAGATCAACTTGAAGTGATGGTCTTCTTTCGTTTTGATTTCCCTACTGATTTTTGTATAGTCTGCAAATTTACAGATGTTGCTACTCAAACCTGAATCTAAATCATTTATATATATATTATGAACAGAGGTCCCAGGACAGAGCCCTGAGGTACTCCACTAACTTTATCCCACTGACTTAACCCCATTTATACTGTTTCCTTTGAAATAGCCATGCCCTAATGAAACGTAATACAGCGCCCCCAATACCCTGAGCTTCTATTTTTTTAACTAGTCTTTTATGTGGCACTGTATTAAAAGCTTTGCTAAAGTACAGGTACAAATCACAATCCTTATCACTATCAACTGCCTTAACTATGCTGGAATAAAAAGTTGGCAAATTTGTTAAACATGAACAGCCATTTGTAAAACCATGTTGCGACTCGTTTATTAATTTGTTTTTAAAGATGGAGATGAATTGTATTTGCAATTATTGATTCGAGTAACTGTCCCACAATAGAAGTTAGGCTAATTGGCCGATAGTTTGACGCAAGTGATATATCTCCTTTCTTAAAAGTTGGTACCATATTAGCTACCTTCCATGAATCTGGCACTCTGCCTAACTTTATTGATTTATTAAATATGGTAGACAGTGGCTCGGAAAGCGCCTCTTTGCATTCTTTAAGCACCCTGGCAAACACTTCATCCGGCCCTGGGGATTTGTTTGGTTTTAGTTTTACTAATTGTTTAATTACATCCTCCCTGGTAACTGCTAAACTAGTCGACCTGTCCTCATCCCCACCCAGAGACTTGTTCGGCTGAAGGCATGTTAAGTTCTTCTTTAGTAAATAGATATAAAATATTTGTTAAATACTACTCGTCTTGTCATTATCCGTTATTTGACATGTCTCGGTTTTAATGGACCTATCCTTTCCCTAGTCTTAGTTCGATATAACTGAAAAAAACCTTTAGGATTTGACTTTGCTTGCTCTGCTATGCGAACTTCAGTTTTTTTTTTGCTTTCCTAATAACTTTTTATAACATTTTTAACTAGTTATGAATTTGTTCTAAACTGACTTCCCCATTCTTAATCCTTTTGTGCAAGGTCTTTTTACCTATAAGGTTCATTAAATTCTTTATTATACACTTTGGGTCTTTAGTATTCGATTTATTAAATTTGTATGGTATACTACGTTACTGTGCTTTTAGAATATTTTTAGTTATATATTAAATCTACATCGAAATCCCCTTTTACGTCACCTATCGCTACGTTCATGTCTCGCTCAAAGACCGGCCCATACCCAAGACTTTCCAATCTATTTGACCCAAAAAAATTTCTTAGGCTATTAAAATCAACTTTTCGAAAATCAGGCACTGTAACAAAATGTTCTCCTACAGATCTCTTCCGTTCTATGCTAAATCTGATTTCTTTGATCACTGTTCCCTAGCTCACCACCTATTTCGATGTCGTTAATTTGTTTCGCTGTTGGTTAACACAATCTAAAATATTATTTTCCCGCGTTGGTTCCTCAATGTGTTGTGTAAGAAAGCAATCGTCAATTCTAAAATCTTCTGCTTCACCATTCCCTGTTTTGTTAAACCAGTTCATTCCACTAAAATTAGTCGCCCATGACACACTGTTAGATAAAGATGCTTTTGATATTTCATCCCATAGATGCTTTGCTTCCATTGTCTAAATTTGGTGGCCTATATATGTTATTATATTTGCTTTTTCGTTTAATTCTATCCAAATAGTTTGTGGCTCGGTTTTGATTCCCTCTTTGAGACTACATTTCTAATTGTCCCTAACATGAATGGCTACTCCCCCTCCTCGTCTAATATATCGATCTGTGTGAAATGGTTTAAATCCATTTATTTGATATTCGGCTAATAGTTATCCATTTTCTACATTGATCCACGTTTCGGTAAGTGCAATTTTTTTTTTTTTTTGTGCAGACAAGAGCATTTAATTCGTTAATTTTATTTCTTGGACTTCTACTGTTAGTGTAATATACTGTAAGTGAATTGTTATTTTGAGGCCCTTTTCTTTCCCTGATCATTTCTCCAATGCCTTTCTCCCACAAACATACTTTTATTACCTTCTTCCTCCAAATAAATTCCCGTACCACTATCTACTAACAGTTTAAACCCAAACACCTCTAACCACTGGTTCCAACGAGCTCGCAACAACCCCAGCCCTCCATAGATGCACCCCATCACGAGCATACATTTCATTTCTTCCATAAAAGTGTTCCCATTTGTCTATGAAAGATATTGCATTTGATTTGAAATCTTTCCAGCCGGCAATTGACAAATTGCCCTCGACATCCATTCATTTCCCACTCCCTTTCTTGGAAGAATGCCACAATTGATCGGGATTCCTACCTAGCTCCTAACTAATTCAATGGCTATCCTGAATCTTAGTTCCTCACTCCTAACTTGTCCAACATCATTACCCCCTGCATTTTTTTATACAATAAAATTTAATAATTTTTTTATATACATATACATTATTTTACATGCATATATTTGTATATATTTTTATTATATACAATAATCAGATACAAATCATGTATGTAAATCATATTATATTTAAATCATGAATCATATTATATCATGTTTATAAAAATACTGAATTAAAAAAACATTTTATAATTTACATATAATTTGTAATTATGACAAGCTCTGGCGTCGTCTTGACTGTCCTCCTTGTCTGTTTCAGTTTCAGTCGTCGTCTGAGAAATTGACAAACTTTGTCGTCGTCTTAAACTTCTTCTCTCCCGTCTAAATGGTGTTTGTCAGGTTCATTCATCTGAGCCACAATATATGAATACACGGTAGAGGTATTTTCAAAGGGTGGCTGGGAATTAGCAAAGTTCCCACTTGACATGGGCATATTTGTAGATTGGGAAGCATACTTCAGGGTATACTCCTTGAACCCCACCCTTGGAATGGAGGTTTTCGTTCGGCGGGGAATATTTGCAGATTTGATCAGATCTCTTATGATTTCCCGATGTTGGGTATGAACGGTGGGTCTCTTGTAATAAGCAAGTTCATTCTCATTCACCCGCCGTCGCTTGAATAATGTGACGTGGTTCTCAAAACTGTAATTCTGTAGGCGTAGACCTTGCTTGTCCAGTAGGGCAATAATCACCCGCCGCAGATCGAAAAGATTGTGACTCTTGAATCTTTACGAAGATGACACTTGTGTCAAAATTCCCTAAGCCATCTAAGACGACGCTGGCTGTTTGTTTCAGTTGTTTCAGTCGTCTGAGGAATCGACAAACTTTATCGTCGTCTTAAACTTCTTCTTTCTCGTCTAAATAGTGTTTGTGTCGGGTTCATTCTCCTTAGCCACAATATACGAATACAGTAGTGGTATTTTCCAAGGGTGGCTTGGAATTAGCCAATGCCAAGTGAATGATCCAGGACGGACCGAAACGTCGTCGTCCCTTCACCTTCTAGTGTGGTCTGGTCGACATACTCTAGCCACGTTGACTCGTCGCCTGCACACGACATGAAAGAACTGAGATCCTCTCCGTGAGGAAAAGCCAAGAAGATGGAACATGTTGCAGCCGTTCCAGACTACAGGCACATCACCCTCGGCTACTTCATACTAGACGGGTAAGGAGTTGGGACAGTGTTAATAAAAGAGTAGTGAAGAAGAGTTAGAATTGGTCAGTGGAAAATTTATCAAAGATCAACAGATTATCCTCAACTAAGCTGGTTCTCTTAAGCTTGTAGTGAAAGAAGCCACGTTAGGTTCTAGTATTTTTGTTCTTGCTTTTAAATAGTGATGTATATGCACTAAAATAAAGGACTGAAATGGGTTTTAACTCGGGTCCCTAGACACGTACTGTCAGTTGAACCATGACTAATACCTCTAGTATACTTTAAGTTTGAAAGGTACCAACATTAGTGACTGTATAAATGTATCGGTAAAACAATGTATATTTGTTTTAAAGAAAATCTGAATTTGCATATATATATATATATATATAGCAGGTTGAATATTAAATAACATTCCTATTTCGTAATTTCACAGATGGAGGGGTAAATGAGCTTGACCAGACAGATGTTGTATACATAGTTCGTCAACTAATTGAAAAGTTCATGGTAAGTACAACAACCTCTTATTAAATTGCTCGATAAATGCAAACTAAACCGCTATAACAAAGGAAAGATGTAATGGTTTCTTAAATGTTCGATTAATCCTCGTCCATTTCGTACCACTTAATGGCTCGGTCAAAAATTTAGCTTCATTGCATGTATTAACCCCATTAAAAAGTTAAGAATATAAGAATGTGCAATTGCAGAAAGCCTATTGGCCCATACGAGACGGCTCTTGTTTATATCCACCCAGTCTCAAACATATGTGTAACCTACGCTTGAAACAATAGATGTACCCCACTTATGTTATGCGGTAATTGCTTCCGCACAATTTCTACCATGTTACCGAACCAGTATCTGATTACACAGAAATCGCAATAGCGTGATGCATCAAATGAACAAATCCATAAGGCCTGTGATGAGGGTTCGAACCTTGTTCCTGTTGAAGCTGTGGGAGTCTTGTGAGGGCAGGTGCACTAAAAATGGCATTTTTTTTACCCTGTCGTGGCGCAGTCGAATAAGATGCGTCTGAGATCATCCCAGTCGTAGGTTCGAACCCTACTGAGGGCCTTTTTTTTCCCCTATAGATTTATTCATAAATTTATTTATTCTTCAATTTTCTAGAGAATGTAATTTAAGCTTTGTCATTCTTTCAATGATTTATATATATAATTACTATTTGTGCACTGTATACATATTAACGTGTTTTCTTATCCTCAGATAAGTACACTGAAGCTCGACGTCTTAAAAGGCATGGGAAGTTTGGATAACAATGTCGTATGTAAAGGTTCAAAAGTCGCCGGAGCGGTTTGATCTGAGAAAGGAGCTAGTTGCCCTCCTGAACAAGAGGTCTACACTTTAAGAAAGATTTAACCCCCACGTCCTTATTTAAGTGACGCTGGGTAGATAAGGAACTTTGCTATTTCAAGACGCCCAAGGTTCTCTCACAACATAAAGCAATCATAAAAAACTTGAAACTCTGCAGACATACCCCGCCGAACCAATATCGGTGTCCCAAGGGTGAACTTTAAGGAGTATTTCTCTAAGAATGCTGTGGAATCTAATAACATGTCAACAGCCTGAATAATACCCAACATCCTTTGGTAAAACTATTACCCTGTATTCCTATATTGAGGCTACAATGAATAAATAAAATCTAGACAACTGAAAAAACAAAGTTTGTAGATTCCTCCTAGGAAAAATGAAGATTAAAACAAACGGACAAACAAAATCTAGAAAACAAAGACAAAGCTTCTCATAATAACAAATTATGTAAATTATAATTTGTTCTTAAATTAACGAGTAATGGGTAGTTCGATGACCATTACTAAAACTAAATTTGTCTCCCTTCAGTATTTTTATAAACATGAATGTTATACAAATTGTATCTTTTATCATTAATAAATTGTATATATACCAGAAATCTTATTTTCCAATTGGGTGCAAAAAATGTTTAAACAAAAATATCACAAAGATATTAAAAGGAAAGTCACTCTTTACTAATACATATTCATTTATAACTGGATCATTTTACACTTAATTGTTATAATTGGGAAATTTCCTATTTTAACTATTTTAAACTTCTAATAATATACCGCCATGATTTTTAGCTTTTAATCCTAACTACAAACTAATAATCAAATATAGGTATTTTAAATATTATTCAGGTTAAAATATGAATTAAAGTTTATTATTATTGCATTTCCTGGGACGTCACCGCATGGATAGAGTAAACTATTCTTGAGCCCTCTTGAGTGAGAATCTCTCACATCTTGTCTTCTTTAATTCTTGTACTAAAATCTTAGTTCTCACATGATTGGCAGCGTGCGTGTGGGGCCATAATGGTTTGGATGGCCAAGATAATTTGGCCATCCAAACGAACCTAACGGGTTGAACGGCCGAGAGAACTTATACCGCGACCTGAGGATTCCCGAATGAGTTGACAATAAACCCATTTAAAATATTATAAGACTTGGAGAGATTAATTTTAAAAGTTTAGGGATGACGTAAGTACAATTTCTCTGATCATGGAAGCCTATATATGATTACATCTTAAGTTTTAAGTCCCCCTCCCCGCTCAGCTCGTTGTCGCCATGTGGGCGGCTGTCGGAGTGTGATGCTCCTTAGGACAGTCCTCTGTCCTTTTCTAGACTTGTGCTCCTGCTGCTGTCCTCTCCAATTCTGCTGGGCATCTTTTCCTTTTCCTTCTGTTTCGTTTTTCTCCCCCCTCTTCTCCTATCTGCTTGCAGTTTCCTGCCGACCTTTTGCTCGTTCTGGTTCTTCCCTTGGACTTATTCTGTTTTGACGCCCGGGTGCTGGAGGAAGCATACTCTTGCACCCGTAGAACTGCAGTACCCGACGTCGAGAGCGAGGGGAACCTTTTATTGTCAAAACCCCTTTCGTCACTGAACCCGATCTCGACGGACTGTCGGTTTCTTAAGGTGGCGTTTGTGGGGCGTATACTCACGACGAACCCCTAGGAGGCCCCAGCAAGATCGGCGATAGCTTCTTGTTGGGTGTCCTGCCTCTAATTGTGGCTCCATGATGGGTGTGGGGGCATATTCGTGAATGAATTCTTCTTTCGTAATGATAACCCCTGTTTCGGCTGCTTCTGGTTTACCTTCACAGGTTTGTGGGGTGGGCGACCAAGCCCCCCGAGTCGGTCCGTATTGGAAGACCGGGCTCTGTAGCCTCCGCTGCATTGGGCCCCGACCTTGCTCCTCCTTTGGCCTCTCTGACTCCTTACCCTGGCTCCCCTCCCTCCTCTGCGGTTGGGTCGAGCCCCAAGCCCCCAGTGGTGACTACCTCGTCCCCTGGCGCGGCTCCTTCTCTAGTTGTCTTTTAACCCCTCTCTCTGGGGGTTCTCACCGCTGTCCTCGTCACGGCCGCCCTCGCTCGATTCCTTCCAGTTCTGCTACCTATCAAGCCTTGTTTGGTCCCGCTTCGTGGGCCAAATATTTTGATCTCCTCCCTCTTGATTCTGCGCCTCCTGACGATTTCTCCCTCCATCGATATCTTGTTGATTCCGTGGATGCCTCCATTAATTTCAACCCCTCTCGTCTCGGTACACGTGTCGTTGCTGCTCCTTCTCAGGATGCTGCTTCCCGCTTGGCTGCCTTATCCTGCCTTGGCGAGACCCCTGTTCGGGTCTCGAAAAACGCTCAGTTGAATGCCAGTGTTGGCACTATTTTGCTCCCGCCCCATGTTGCGACCGGTGTTCGGGACCTGCGCGACTGCCACGACGATATTCGACATATCTTTGCTGCCCAGGGCCATTCTATTCTCCAGGTGGACACGTTTACTCGTCCCCCTCGTGGTAGTCGCCGTCAACCCCTCCGGGTTGTGAAGATTACCTTTGATGGTAGGACCCTTCCACCCTCTGTCATTCTTGCTGGTGCCAGGTGCTCTGTCCAGGAGTACATTCCTTCTCCTCGGCTCTGCAACAAGTGCTGGAGGTTTGGGTATGGTGCCCTCCGCTGCTCCGGGACTGTCTCTCTCTGTCCTTTGTGTGGTGGCGAAGGTCACTCTAAGTCGGAGTGCTCTTCTCCCCAGGCTCGCTGCCTCAACTGCGGTGAGGCCCATCCTGCCTTCTCCCGTGCGTGTATCCATTACAAGCTTGAGGCAGCCGTCCTCAACTTGAAGCACCGGGAGCGTTTATCTTTTCCTGAGGCGAGACGCCAGGTTCGCCGGCTCCCGCCTTATGCTAATATCTCTTATGCTCGCGTGT